GCGCCGAGCCCCTGCTGCCTGCAGCGCCTCGGGACGAGTGTTTCAGGAGCGAGCAGCCAACGCCGTCTTGAAGCAGCGGCCGCTGGCGATGCGCCTGTGCGAGGCCGTGCATTTTTCAAGCCCAGCTCCTCTCTGTTACATAAGCTTTAGCGGCTGGAAGTGTTTGTTCTCTGCTGGGAAAAACATATGGCTACAAATTAGGATTAGGTAACTCGTCTGTACTTTTTATTTGCCTCAGCAAGCATTGAAAATCCCCGTCCTGCCATCCTGTAAGGCGCCGCACGTCGTGATAGGAGCCCGAGGTGGATGTGCAGGTGGGGAGGGATGCTGCTCTCACAGCTTGTGTTCCCTCAGCTTTCTCTGGCAGCAGCCCTGGGGGTTGGGGTGGTCCTGCTTGCAGCACCCAAGGGAGCTGGGGGCCATCCCGGGAGCCAGCAGAGCCGCCCCAGGGCTCCCGCAGCCAAGCGGACCCGCGCTCCTGTCGGATCGGGTGCTGCTGCCGTGCTAACGAAGGTGCTGCGTTCCCCCCCACGTCCCTCCTGCGCCGTGGCCTTGCTTCCCTCTGTGCGTTGCCAGAAAGCGACTCGCTGCTGGCAACCTGGTGATGCTGGGGGACCGTGGGGGTCCCTGGGGGGCGCACGGGGTGGGGACACTTCAGCGAAGGCAGCAGCGCTCGCTTAGACGAGCGGTTAAAGCACTCCTGCTGTTAGATCTTCCTCTCACCCTGCTGCTCCGTGCTGGAGAAGCGAGAGAAAAAAAAGCAAGAAACAATGTCTCTGTGACTCACTAGCAGCAAAAATAAGCTTAAAAAATTCCCCTGGAGTAGCAAATACTCTGCTTGTAGGTAGGAGAAAAGGCAGCCGAGTGATTACTTGCACTGTCCGGAAAGAAAGGAGGGGCTGGTACGTGCCGCTCCGGTTCGGTGGGTGACGCTGTGCAGGGCGGTTTGTTTTGGGTAACCCACAGCTCAGGTGTGTTTGTCCCGGTGCCACCTCTGCCTGCTCGGCGCCTGGCAGGGTGCTGATGGCAGTCAGATGGGGACGCAATATGTTCGCCCAGGCGTAGTTTATGCTTATGCTTTTCAAAACCGTGCTTCCTTTTTTGGGGGCTGTCATAATCATTTTACGGTGGCGCATGGAAAGAGAGAAATAATTAAAATTCCAGCGTGCTGCAAGAGGAAAGGGCTGTAAGGAGCTCTCCCCGGGGCGGCCGTGGGGCTGCTCTCCGTGCGGGTTGGGCTTCTCCGTCAAGGCAGAGCATCCTCCTGTACTACGGGCTCAGCCAAAAAACAGAAGAAAAGAGAAGAATGAATCAGAGACTGTCAGAGTGAAGGCATGAATTGCGCTCGCTGGGTTGTCTGAGGCTATCCTTTCAGTATTATTAGAATAAAGCCGTCTTTAATTAAACCTTTAAGTGCTTTATAAGGCAGAAGACTTTATGTGCCGTCTGCTGCTCTTAATGGTGATTTGATGGCCGGTACGCAACGAGTTTGGCATCGTGCTCTGCAGGCAGTGTGCTTGTGAAGGAGCTGGTGCTCAGGGGCACCCCCGTCCCCGGGGCTGGGGCAGAGGTGGGGGCCGGGGGCTCCTGGGTGGGCGCAGGGCTGCGTGGGTGCTGGCATGGGGTGCCCACGCTGTGCCGGCAGCCAGAGCCGAGTTCATGGCATGCCCCAGCCTGCCCTCCGCTCCCTCCCCACCGCTGGCCAGGAGCATATCGGGAATAAATAATGATAAAGAGACATTCACGTCCCCTCTGGGAGATGACCCTGCCTTCAAAAAGAGGGTGCAGGAGAGGGGGCGCTGGATGCAAGGAGACAGCAGATGCAAAAGGCTTCAAAGGAATTAATTAAAGATAAAATGTGTTTAAAAGAAGACCCTGGGCGGTTGGGATGGAGCTGCTGCTTTGATCCGCCATGCAAAGGCGTGGGGAGCCATCGCAGCTGGGGGCCGGAGAGGAAGCGAGGGGGCTGGACGGCATCCCCTGGGCCAGCACCCACCGGCCACCTTTCCCGGGAGGCTCCCGAAGGATCCTCTGTAAGGCCATGCATCAGCTATGCGAGAAGATGGTTTTCCTTAAGGATGGAGGATGATGGCCGAAGGAAGAAATGAGCGTGGCTGTAAGCTGAGCTCTCTCTGGGGAGCTGTTTTTTCCTTTTTCTCCCCGGGATTAGCAGATGTCGTGCGTGCGTGTGTGCCTTCATCCACGTGTGTCTAAATGAGCCAGAAACTCTCCTCTGCTGCTCTCAGAGATATTTATTGCTCGGTGATATTTGCTGTAACACCTGAGAAGATAAGTCCCAGTCTCTTTAGCATAAGCCTCTAGGATCTTCGTTCTTGGCAAGAATATTTCACAGCAGCAGCAGCAGGATATTCTCCTTTCATCAGTCCAACCCAAAATACCAGGAGGTTTCCAGGAACCTTGGATTTTTTGCTGAAGAGCGGCATTTTCACTTCAGGATGACTAGTGCTCACTGGGCTGGGTTTCAGAGCTGATTGCCCTGACTTACCAGGTGGAAACCCAAGGGGCTTTGCCTGCACAAACTCTGCTTTGAAGGCAAGAGGGGTGTTAAGAGGAGTGGCCCCAAGGCGGTTTCCCAGCACAGTGGGTCGGGCAGCGGATGAACCGGCTTTGCACCGGAACAAGCTTTTCCAAGAAGACTCCTACCTTATCTCTTCCCCTGTATCTAACCCTCATGGTTTTTGTAAATTATTTTTCTTACAAGCTATTAAACGGCAGTAGGGTTCATGTTACGGCAAAGTCTGACTGATCCCCCCTGGGAAAGGCCATTTGTGGCTGTGATTGCAGCTGAATGGCCACGCAACGCTCCCAATTGAATTCTTCTGTCCGAAAGCAGTTTTAGCAGCTAGATAAGGCTTTTGGGGATCAGATGGGTTTTCTGATGGCTGGGGAAGCTGTAATGCATCTTGACTCCAGCCGGTTTTCCCCAGCCTCTCCGCAAAGCTCGGGAGGAGGTGGAGGCGTCCCGGTGCCCGTGGCGTGCAAGAACAGAGGAAGGAGACTTGTGGCAGGTATGAGGACGGGAC